ATCTGCTGTGAGTCTGATGTGCTTCCCTCTGTGGGTAATCCAATCTTTCTCTCTGGCTGACCTCAGCATTTTCTCCTTAATTTAACCCTGGTGAATCTGACAATTATGTGCCTTGGGGTTGCTCTTCTTGAGAAATATCTTTGTGGTGTTCTCTGTATTTCCTGGACTTGAATATTGGCCTGCCTTGCTAGGTTGGGGAAGTTTTCCTGGATTAATATCCTGAAGAATGTTTTCCAGCTTGGATTTATTCTTTCCATCACATTTGGATACACCTATCAATCGTAGATTAGGTCTTTTCACATAATCCCATGTTTCTTGGAGGCTTTGTTCATTTTTTTTTCCTCTTGTTTCTCTAATCTTGCCTTCTCATTTTATTTCATTGAGTTGATCTTCAATCTCTGATATCCTTTCTTCTGCTTGGTCAATTCAGCTATTGAAACTTGTGTATGTTTCACGAAGTTCTCATGTTGTGTTTTTCAGCTCCCTCAGTTCATTTATATTCCTCTCTAAGCTGTTTATTCTCATTAGCATTTCATCAAACCTTTTTTCAAGGCTTTTAGTTTCTTTGCATTGGGTTAGAACATGTTCTTTTAGCTCAGAGACGTTTCTCATTACCCACCTTCTGAAACCTGTTTCTGTCAATTCATCAGACTTATGCTCCATCCATCCTTGTTCCCTTGCTGGTGAGGAGTTGTGATCCCTTGTAGGAGGAGAGGCGTTCTGGTTTTGGGTGTTTTCACCCTTTTTGTGCTGGTTTCTTCCCATCTTTATGGATTTATTTACCTGTGGTCTTTGTAGTTGGTGACTTTCAGATGGGGTCTCTGAGTGGATGTCCTGTTTGTTGATGATGAAATTATTTCTTTCTGTTTCTTAGTTTTCCTTCTAACAATCAGGCCCCTCTGATGTAGGACTGCTGGAGGTCCACTCCAGTCCCTGCTTGCCTGGGGATCACCTGTAGCGGCTGCAGAACAGTAAGGGTTGCTGCCAGTTTCTTCTTCTTCTATCTTTGTCTCAGAAGGATACCTGCCAGATGTCAGCCTGAGCTCTCCTTTATGAGGTGACTCTTTGGATATATGGGGGTCAGGGAGCTGCTTGAGGAGACAGTCTGTCCTTTATAGGAGGAGCTCAAGTGCTGAGCTGTGAGCTCTGTTGTTCCATTCAGAGCTGCTGGGCAGGTGTATTTAAGTCTGCTGTAGCAGAACTCATAACCGCCTTTTTTATCCCCAGGTGCTCTGTCCCGGGAAGGTAGGGCTTTATTTATAAGTTCCTGCTGTGCGACTGCTTTTTTTCAGGGATGCCCTGCCCAGCAAGGAGGCAGCCTAGTCACAGTCTGCCAGTAGAGGCATTGCTGAGCTGCCATGGGCTCTGCCCAGCTGCCATGTGAACTTCCCTGTACTCCTGTTTATAGGGGTATAGTTAGAACTGTCTTGGCAATGGCAGCCGACTTCTGTAATGGCGGACTGCATCGGCAATGGCGGACAGCCTCAGCAAAGGCATACTACCTCGATAATAGTGGACTGCCTTGGTAATGATGGACGCCCCTCCCCCACAGAGCTGGATCATCCTGGGTTCAGCTATGCTTGCTGTGAAACTCTCAATCTAGAGCGTTTCAGATTGTTGGTCTTTGTGGGAGTGGAACCGGCTGAGCCTGATCACCTGGCTCCCTGCCTCAGACCCCTTTTTTTTCAGTTGAATAGGTGACTATGTCTCCTAGGCGTTCCAGTCACCAGTTGAAACAGCACCCAGATTTGTGTGAGTTCTCATGCAGAGCCCTTCTGCGTGGCTGAAACAGCCGTGCTGGAGACTTGTGGTGCTTTTTCACCTGGGAATCTCCTGGCCTGGCTCCCTGTTTCAGTTCCCTTTTTATCAGTTGAATGGGCATCTCTGTTTCCCAGGCACTCCAGTCGCCAGCTCCAGGACTGAGGTCTTAATCACTACACTCTGACTCTGGGTAAGAAATTTTAGCAAGCACAGTTATAGATGTAAAGTCCCACATGTAAAATTATATCCTTCTGCTTCCACTGGAAACAGTATCTCTCACAGTTATTTTGAGAAATTTGAAATGCAATGGCTTGTGCTGCTGTAGAATGCAGGGCAAAAAGGGTGTTGAGGATGAATTGTTCTAAAGAAAATGGAGCAGCACTCTTATAAAAACAGTTATGGAGACTCCACAGTTTCCCAATAAAAGCTTTACTTCCAGATGTACTTGTTGTAGTACTTAGTAGCCCCACTATGGTTTTAGTATCCTGAAATAGGATTGCTAATTAATGGAGGAGTAATATTTATTTAAAAACCCAGGTTTGTCATTCTAAATCTCCCCCCCAAAATACGTCAAGATAATTTCTTATGAACTACTATGATAGTCTTGAAGTTTTTCACAACCACTTACCTAGTTAAGGGCTGCGTGTGCATATGTGTGAGTGTTTACATATCAGTATATGGAAGTATTAACATATACATAATT